AGGGCGTCGGTGAGCGCGGCGTCCAATTGGCGTTCAGTGGCCGCACAGCTGATCAATAGGAGACAATTGAGCGCCAGTTGACCGGTGGACGGGTCGCCACCGCTCGTCACCGTTTGGGCCAATAGTCGGATCATCGGTGCGATTGTCTTCTTGTTGTCGAGTATGAACTTCTCGCGCTTCCGCTCGTCTGTGGCCGACATTATCTCTGGAGAGAGACATCGAGGAATGTGGTAATGGATCAGTTGATACCGTGAGTGTCTTAAGACTGCTGTTAGGCTTACCTTTGATGACGTACTCCAATATCTTATCAGTTTTACTCTCTTTGGCGGCCATCTCTTCGGTGGATCAGATGCCCGGCGAAGACAATGGCTGTGAAGACGATGGATGAAAATGAGTGACAATTAGTGAGTCTTTTATCCGTTTTTAACAATTGTTTTGATGTTTTGTTTTTGTTTTCATGTATTTTGTAATCACTTTCACAACCAATAGGTGTCGACACAGGGGTTGCCCTTTAGGGGCACCGCATATGGCATGTGGTATATGAATGGCACTGTACTCATCATCAATATGACCAATATATGAGCATGGTGCTTTTATAATACAGAATATTCTGTGCAATATATTCTCGTATTTGATTTTAAAGTTGTATTTTTGCAAATATTTACGCTTTTTGTGATAATTATATAGTTTTGTGTGTTTTGTAAGCAAATTATATGAAATATTTGATTATTTTATTGACTGTAATTCACTAATCATTATATTCTATATGTTATTATATAATATAGTGGTCAAATATTTCTTGGTCTTAGCTTATTTATAATATATTTATAATAAATACATTACCATATAGATATAGGTATTTTTAGAAAACATTTTTAATCAATGATAATTTTTATATAATTTTTATATAATTTTTATAATAAGTTAAATAAATATTACAATAAAAAAATCTATACAGTATTTATAAATTATAGTAAATATTATGTATTAATTGTCTATGTATTCATATTTGAAAGCTATTCAAAAAATGTATTAAAAAAATTTTTAGATCCAAATTTATGTAAAAATTGCAACTTCTGTTGATTATGGCTAAGAATATGTGTTTAACTCATTATAAATGGCAATATTTATATCAATTGAATTGCTTCTCACAATTCATTCATTTGATTCAATGGCACCAAAAATATATAACAAATAAATAAATGATTGATTGAATGATCTGTTGATTGAATTCATCTTTAAAACATGGCATCCATTGAATGGAGAGACCGAAGAGAAAACAAATGATTTATGTTTTTTCAACATTAAGACCCAAATCTCAATTTCAAACCAACGCTTTCGTGGAGTAAAATAAAAAAGTTTTTATAACTAATGCTTGAGTTTTGCGATTCACTGATGAAAAGTGGGATTTGTTTTGAAATAATATTCTATCCATACTGTTAGTGGTGTTGATAGTACTCATCAACTACTCAAACCATTCTCTCTCTCTCTCTCTCTCTCTC